AAAAAACATACATCGCTTTCTTGGCTCTTTTTCAGGAAGCCGAGGAGAATATTTTGGAACTAAGACGGCAGGTAACAGGACAGTGGAGACAACAACGCAATAAGAAGTTTGATAGGTTTCTTCTTCGTTAAACTTTATGAAAATTGCGATAAACCCAAGTAGGATGAGATGGGTGGGGCCCCTATAACGCACGTGGGAAATAAAAATGCACACATAATTTTAGTCGGAAGGCCTGGGTGAAAGAAGGCAGTTGGGAGACTTAGACTTATGTATATGGGAGATAATATTAAAGTGAATCTTGAATAAAAGCGGCTCGAAGGCTTGGACTGAAGACTATGGTCCAGAAGCAGGTCTTTCAAATACTTTGTTGGATGAACCAAACACGTTGAAACTTTATTGATTAGCTGAACGTTCATCATCTTCCTAAAAGAACTCTCCTCAGTGGAGTTGGTTCATTTTCTCTGCTTCTATTTACCTGGTGATTCGCACGCCAGTACCTGCAGGGGTGTGACAATACACAGATTTATTGTTTACTTAACGACGCTGTATCATCGCTAGAGGTAGAGATGATGTAATGTGAAATCTGGCTATGCCCTGCGTTAAGGTACTCTCGGCTCTCGACTGAGAAAAATGATAGTCATCAGTCATGAAAGCTATAGGATTGTTACAATAGCCCACTGCCAAATTTCGTTCTTGCATCACAGGTTGGTTAGTTGCTCGATTGTTGGGAACCCCTGGTCTAAGATTGGTACAGGGCGTTTAAAAACTCTCTTTACAATAGATACTTAGTTTAAAATATATAATATGCAGAGATTTGCGACATAATTGTTTTTATGTAGGTTGGTAGCACTGATTTATGACAGTTGTTTGCTGTTGACATAACGTTAGATGAAAAATTATGCCCTGTCTATAGGAAAGAACGTGTCTAATGGAAAATATTGTCAAAATTGTGTTCTCTACTTTGTAGAGAGCATTTTAACACACGAAGTTGTGATTTTTATGTTCATTACTATTTACGTTTTAGAAAATTGCTAAGAATCGACCCAGAGCTCTTATCCTATTAGAACTGATATGTACGGAGTTCACCAAACCCTGAGACTTATCTTTTCCGGATTCTGTACGTGACAGTAACTGGTGTTTTATCTGGACTTACCCTTTAGATAATAATCTGATTCAGTTTCCGGCCGTAAAACCCGAGGCGGACGGGCTGAAGTGTAATCTCGCTGCCTGGATGCAGCTTCCCCTCCTGTCACACTTAACCTTTCACTCCCGGCAGATGAGATGAACAGCTAATAAACACGCAATAAAAATGAAGCTTTGTATTCACCCCTGCGCGGGAATCAAGCGATCTTGCTAAGACCCTAGACGTTATCACCTTCAGAAGGTTAGACGGTACAGCTCCGATTATCAGGGGCCCAATTATCCGTAGAGTGGATTATCCGTGGGCTCAGGGATTGCCTGTATCTAATATAAAATTATGTTTTCGTTAACTACTCGCAACACTGACTTATAGTAAGTTTCTATTTTGTTTGATGATTATAATAAAATATAATTTGCGTTAACCGTGTTTTTATATTATCTGGGGTCCTGCTACCATCATTTACAATGCATAATCGGCGATCTGATGTATGTTCCATTTAGCATGTAGCTTATTTATTATAGACTACGAAACAAGAGGGCAGACGGCTAAAATTCATCGCATTCTGAAAGAGCGCAGGATACATAAAATAACACTGCAGATATTAGATTTGTATATCATGAGGGTTAAGACATTTTCAGGTTTCTAATGTTTTCCTGAAGAAATAATTTGAGGGGTCCACAGTGGCCGCGCGGTCTGAGGCGTGGGGCTTGTGCCGCTTGGTCGCTGGGACCATGGGTTCGAATCCCACTCAAGCCATGGATGTTTCTCTGTGTTGTGTTGTCCTGTGTACAGGTAGAGGCCTTGCGACGGGCCGATCCCTCGTCCAAGGAGTCCTATCGAATGTTTATAGATCAAGCCAACTAAAAAAGTTGGGGACCCGTAAATGGTACCGGAAAATGTACAAACATTGCCAAACCGGAAAAAGAAGAAGAAATAATTTGAGTTAACATTGTAACAGGATTCAGAATTAAGTGACGCACTAATCAATCAGTATTGGTCAAACGTCACTTCTTTGTTTTCACTCATTCAACAGTTTAATTGCGCAGATATTACCAGTAATTTATGAAGAGTTCAGAACACAAAAGTTTAAATTGTGTCAATATAATGTAGTTTGTGTGTTTCAAAAACTTCAATTGCTTTTGTGAGGCATTGTCTTGGTGTTGACAGCTCTATCGATTTATTTATGTGTGTTCAGTAACTTGAAAACACAAAGAATCAGCTCTTATTTTAATCACAATTCGCTGCTTATGAAATTAATAGCATTATTGTAGGTCACACATGTGTACGTTAGGTTAACAGATTACTCGCGTAGTGGAAAAGTTTCTCGGCTTATATGTAATAGACTGGTAGGTCTATAAATAATCTCCCTCTTTTGACACCGGGGGCACAGTTTATCCAATGGCAAGTTCTACAGAAAAACTTTAATAAACTTACAGCTTCCGTCATTTACAATTTATATGAGGCCCATGCAAATTTTGCACCCAAGGGCCAATTTCAAAACAC